ACTACAGTTCCATCATTGGTTTCACGTTACTAGGAAATGCTGAACTCAATAATGTCTAGTTCTGATAAGCCACAAGGGGGAGCCTGCTGGTTTATGGTCATCCCATGACCAAAACATACACAAGGACCTCTGTGCATCTCAAAATGCATCTCACAGAGAAGTAATATAGGCATTTGAATCATCAGAATCATGTGATCATCATCTTTCAATCCAGCCCTCTGAAGACCAAGTAAACATTACTGTATAATTTCATTGTCACAGACAGTCTTAGTTAGCAAGGGCCTGCAGACACAAAAGTCGTCAACTAAACTCCAACACATGTAGCCTTATGTGTGTTTGACTCATAAACCAGTTTCCCTTTAAATAGTCAGAGCAGACAAAGCAGGAAAAGCAGTGAAGTGAACATGTACTTACTATTGTTTCTTTATTTTAACATCTGGCTTTGATCTGAAATGAAAGGAGAGCAGGAGGGGGATTAGGACGTTTACTTTCAAGACATATATGACAGTGGATTTGACGTCTGCAGCCACTTACGAGCAATCGCACGCTAGATGCTCCGTGAAACTCAAATGTATCTTGTGCTGCGTTACCTTCGGTCTGATCCGCATGACCTTGATGTGAAAAACAGAGGACAAAACAAGGCAGGGTTTTTTAGATTTCAACATCAGTGTGACTTTTGGTACCAACTCAAAGTCTAAACAATGCGCAACCCTGAAAAAGCTTGAACAAAGATTCAAAGCATTCTGTCTCTGTCACTGGCCGCACATCCCAGTTTCTACTTCACTTCACATCCAAAGGCCAGGAGAAACGCTGACCTCTTGTATGTGGCTGTAAACACAGTGCACTGAGGTAAACAACATATCTGGGATGCCATGGGCCCTCTGCTTTCTCTGCTCTAACTCCAGATGAGACGCTGTACGCCCAACATGCCCTCATCTAATTTCAAATATGGTCCTTGCCTCAGTTCACTGCCCTCAACACTTAGTCAAACGCCTAAAGACAATACTTCTGCTGTAACTGATGCATTGTCAGGAGCCAGAGTGTGTGACTTTAATCAGCAAATTAAATTAGTGCCCTCTCACCTGCAATGTGACATTGTGTGTGTCTGCCGGCACACACTCCAGAGCCTCGTCGTTGCAGCAGCCTCCACACCGTTTAACCACGACGGACGACGGTATGTAGGTGTGCTCCGTGTCCTCTGGATATTCTTGGTAGATGTCCACCAGCATCTCTCTGGGCTGACACGTGCTTTTTTTGAGGACTTCCGTGAAAGGGATGACTGTCAGAGACAGGATATAGTCTTGTCATTTATGGTGACATTAAGATAATGGCTACAGAGGACCTTTGATGTACTCGTGGCTAACCAATCACATAACAGAGAGTAAACATTACCCCCCACCAATTGTCTGACATACAGTGTGTTCCAGTATGTGAGGCAGGGCGGGTGATCCTACGATGACCTAAAGAATCACAGGCTTCCACTGCATCTTAAAGTCCTGACTTCAGGTCCATTATCAATACAAACACAATTAGCAGTTGGTGATAAACGCTCCATTTCTCTTTCTGCTGTGGTTTCCTGACTCTGTGTGTGTGTGTAAATGTATGTGTGAAGATAAATAGCAAACACATGAGAGACACTGTGCAACCATAAAAAGTCCAAATGATTTTAGGCTGGACCAAACTTTAACATATATTAATGTTCAAATATTAAACCTGCAGCTACAGTGGTGTCAGTATTAAATCAAAGTCAGCAACAGCAGTTTAACGGTTACACACCTGAATGTTAGGTCAAAAAATATCCTGCTATTTGTAAAAGTAATATGCAAACATGATAAGAAATTAAAATGGCCTTGACTCTACCAACCCAAACCAATCCAAATACCAAGACACCTGACTGCACTGACACCCCTACTGAAACTGCTTTCAGTCATTCCTACTCATTACTGTCAACCTTGGCCTCGACACATCTGCATCAACACACATGGCCAAGGCTGTCTGGCTGTTCATGAGGACACAAATGGATCAAAAGAATTCACAATTTGTGCAGAGCAAGTTCTCACATTTGACTCCCATTCAAAAAATCCACTGCTTCTTTTATGGCAGCGCCAAAGTCTACAGTAAGACCTTTGCTTCTTTGCGTGCACTTGCAGAAAAACCTTCTCAGCTAATTCCCAGAACGGCTCTTTGACCTGTCAAGGCTTCCAATGCTTGCAGAAACATATAAAATATGACAGGGAATAAATCCACACACTTCCTTACTTGACCACAAGGTGGCTTTTTGAAGTCTTGTGCAGAGATAAAATAATAATAATTCAAGTCTGTAGACAGGAAACTTACCCTCATTTTGACTCTTCTCCACGCCCTTGTTAATGCTGGCAGTCTGTAAGAGATTCACATCGATCCAAGTGTTAAATCACTGCTCTGACTGAAGGTTATTATCATTATTACTATTATCACCATCACCAAATTATTTAACCGTGTGGCTTGACAAAATGACGTTGTTAAAGGGTTTCCAGTTCTACAGGAAAGAGAAACTGTCGTTAAGATTTCTAAGATGTCTAAGAATAAACGTTGGCCTAACACCAGCTGACAAGAGTGGTGGGGTTACAAAATGTCAACAACAACAAAAAAAAAGTTAAATGGGAATAAAATTTGTATTGGTGAGCCATTCTCCAATTAATATCAGGTATTATCCCTGAATATTCTGTAATTTCGATTGTTTAACATAGTTTGGAATTTTAAAACTGGGGATTTTGTGAAAATAACACATTTTCTTTAAACTGCAGATGTGGTAAGAAGTAATTTCTTCCATAATGGGGCTGGAAATTTCGAGGGGGGGGGGGAGGCAGGAGTAGGTAGTACAAGTAAATAAATATATGCTCTTTTAATTATAAAATCATAAGCAAGCGAAGGGCTTGGCAGATTCTATTTTTCAAATGCTAGTGTCATGAGTAATGTAATGAGTTTTTAAAGAATAGAACCAAAACGCATTGTCATAGCAATACAAGTCTGGCAAGTTGTTAAACAAAAAGGGATGCATTCGTCGATTTTTACCAGTGGTATCGACCGGTCTTTTAACAACACTGTTATATTTGGGAAAGCAACTTTTCGGAATAAAATTCCTCAAAATACAGATATAAACGAGTAGTTTACTTTTATTTTGAAAGGTCTGGCAAAAAGCGACATCCTTTCATGATTGCGTGCAGCGTCATCCCCCCCGCTAGGGAAAAGTGCGCTCACCTCCACGCGTTTGGCTGCTGTAATCAGCGCAGATATTGCGTGAGAAAGCGGATCGTCGTGTGTGGGAAAGGAGGTGGACAGATACCCTACAGGAGGGACAGGAGAAACCGGGTGTGAGGATCAACCCAGCGGCGAGCAGCGTGAGAACAAAACTGACTCTTCACTGTTCAAACTCCTTTCAGCTGCAAGGAGCAGTAGGAGGAGGAGGAGGAGGAAGGCGCGCCTCCACTGGAAGTCCATTCACTCACATCTCACTTTAACGCGCTCTCTTCCGGAAATATTGACATCACTGGCATTAATAAAACCGAGAAACTTTGTGGGATATTGATTAACTTTATTCATAATAATGACGGGGAACTGAACTGGCGACATCGCTTTGTTTTCCGGCTTATTCAACCAGTTTGTTAGCTGCAGCCAAGGGGGAGTAGCGTTTATAAAAACTTAAATTTATACCTAATAAAGAACTTCACATTGAACATAATATTTGTCGATATTTTCAAGATGCTCTAAGAGAGTGAAAACATACTCGTGGTTGACATTTTATATTCGACTTTTTGCACAAATACAGACAACCTCAACACTGCAAATATTTAAATGCAGTCTGGTTTTGTTCTGAGCCGTATTGAAGATATGGGAGCTTGACAGTTTCCCACGCAGACAGCCTGTCTCACATTAACATGTCACATTATTATTGTATTAAATGACGTGGTATGTGCGTAATAACGGAACATCTGCGTCACCAGGCTCAAAATATATGAAATAAGTTGTTTAGCGTTTCTCAAAACAATCGCACGTGTGTGCAGTTGTCTGTGTTAATGCACTGTGGACAGACGAATTGACACGACGGCGGACACACACTCACCTTTACAGTGGACAGGTAAAAAAGCGCTGCCGTCAAGATTTGTACCAAAGTGACAACAATGTTCATGGTTGTAATTCCACACGATGAGTCCTGAAACCTCTACGGGCTTTGCGTCAAAAATATATATTAAAAAAATTTAAGCACAAATAAAATAAAAAATAATGCTTTTAAATAAAACCGCAGTAATTATTTGCTATAAAAGAATCAAATCCATGTCTTCTTTACGCCTGCATTTCACAGGCAGTCTTTATATCATCCAACAAGGCTGCTTCATCCACAGACAAAGACACTGTGGTCTGTGTGAAAGCTCCGCCAAAGCCGGGATTCGAACAGCAGGACTGCGCTCCTGCGCAAAAACCCTCAGCTATAATGGACAGCGGGAGACAGGTTGGCTCTACTCAAGTTTACGCACCGGCGTGACTTTGCGCTCATTGATCCACAGCCCGAGGGCGTGTGTGAATTTGTGTCTGAAAGGCAGCAGACGCTGTTCGCCGCTTTAAAGTGATCCTCGTGATTTCTTCTACAAGTCTCTCCGTGCGTGTGCGTCTAATTCAGGCGTCCGCTCGTTCTCTGCTGTGCGTCTCTGTATAAAACTGCGCGGCTCATCCAAGCAGCCTGTTCTCATGTGTAGCTACGGATCCCGCCTCTCTCGTCGTCTTCTGTGTCCTGCAACAGTGCACCGGGTATTAAGTGCAGCCGGCATTCAGTCCCTGGAGAGAGGCGGGCCGTTGTGTGAGAGCAACCAATACTAGATGGGGGGGGGGGGGGGGGGGGCGGGGGGGGGGGTGTGGTAGCCCGCGAC